AGAGTTCTTTAAAACTTACATATATGTGTTTTTATCTTAGACCATTATTACACATATATAAAAACAACTGAAATAAACTGATTAAAGTATCCTTAAAATGTCTCCATATTCAGAGCCCAACTCCTTTTCATCAAGTTTGATTTGGTATGCTGTCTTAATTTTTTCACACAAACTCACCCTCTGGACCACTACGAGCACCAGAGGTACAATATTTTTTCAAAGGTACTGTGCTGGTTTCCAGGAGCTTCTCCTAAAGCACTGACACCCACTCTACAAACTGAACTCACTTTTTTTTTTCTTTCTTTCCTCAATCACAATGCCAGGAGATAAGCAGTTTCTGTTCAAAGACAGCAAATAGTGTCTGACAAATTAACACATAATACCTTAGCAACACGGGAATCACTCAAGGAAATCCATCTGTTCCTAGGGATTTGGCAATTTCTCTTATAGTCAATCAGCTATGTAACAAATAAGCAATCCCTTGCAGATAGCTCAGTAACAAAATGTAACATGTCTTCAATATACTCTTTCTTGATTGTTTTTCAAGAAAATACAAAAATGTGCTCACTCATCCAATGAACATAGCCTAACTAGAAATTTACACCCTGCTGCTGCTGGGCTTCTGTGCCTTTCTTCATACACAATAACTTTTTATTTCCTTGAAGGCATGTGAAATGACCAACTAACATAGTGCCAACAAATAATCCATGTAATCCAACTGAAGTGATGACCTTATGCAAAGCCATTGGGCTGTCAGCAATTATAAGATGCTGCTGATTCTAAGACACATCACAATTTCAGATATTAAAATGTAAAATAGAAAACATATGTCTTACAATTAATACAATTAGTACTGGGAAAGCACTTATAAAGTGCTTTCATTTTCCAGTATTATTCAAGAAAATGGAATACATTTTCCAGTATTACTCAAGAAAATGGAATTGATCTGTTTTATGAAAGTATAACAATAATCATATATCAAAGATTCTCATAGCTTTCATCTCATTTCATCTTCTAACAGATCTCAGGTATGAGATATTTTATGTAATTTTCAAACATACATGGAAACAGACTTCCAAAGAGTGAATCCAAAATCGCACAGCAGAACTTGAGCTGAGGCCATTCACTCAAAGCCTACTGTTTACAGCAGCCTCAGAGCTGCTTCCTTCTGCCTACTTGCTCTTCAACAATCTACTCTGGGCTCAGCGCCTGTAGCTCCGTGGCTACGGTACCAGCCACATACACGGAGCTGGTGGGTTCAAATCCAGCCCAGGCCTGCCAAACAATGACAACTACAACCAAAAATAGCCAGGCACTATGGCAGGTACCTGTAGTCCCAGCTACGTGGGAGGCTGAGGCAAAAGAATCACTTTAGCCCAAGAGTTTGAAGTTGCTGTGAGCTATGGAACCACTGCACTCTACCCAGGATGACATAGTGAGACTCTGTCTCAAAAAAATAAAATAAAAAAATAACAATCACTCTGGAACCAGCTGCCAAGTAGAATGTCTTGGTATCAAACCAATATCACTATTTAAGATTCACTTCTTTCCAATTCTCCTGTTAGCCTTAGTTTCTATGTCTTAAACAAGAAACGGATTCCACCTTTTACACGTAAAGATCTTAGACTGACGAAACAGAACAAATGAAAAACTAGTATAAAAAAGAGTCTGGATTTATTAAAAATTCATAGATTAACATATTTAATACTTACAATGTGTATAATAGTTCCTACTTATATTTAAGACATGAGCAGTAAAGAAGACACTGCCTACTTTTTCAAGGCAACCCTGATAAATCCTTACATACTATCACTGAAGCTCTAAACTTTCAAAGTGTACGAGCAAACTCAATGATTTTTTCTTATTAAAATTACAATTAGAAACAACTCAAATGTCCATCAAATAGTAAATGAGTAAATAAAACATATATCCTTAAAATGGAATATTATTTGGCAATAAAAAGAAAAACATCCTGAAACATGATGCGACATGAACTTTGAAAACTTTATGCTAAATGTGAGGGGTGGCCAACCTTTTTTTCTGTAGTACATTGGATGAAGAAGAGTTGCCTTGAGCCACACATGAAATATGCAAACACTAATGACATCTGATGAGGAAAAAAATAGCCTAGGCACACTCTTCCTGATTATCTGACACCACAGATAAACAAAACAATTCTCAAATCATCTACATAAGGCCCACAGGCCATAGTGTGGACACCCCTACAAGTGAAAGAATCCAGTCACAAAAGATCACATATTATATGATTCCATTTATATAAAATGTCTAGAATAGGCAAATTTCCAGGGACAGAAAGTAGATCAGTGGTTGTCTAGGGCTTGGAGCAAGGGATTTAGGGGGAAATGGGGACAGCTAATGGACACAAGGTTTCTTTCTGGGATAACAAAAATGTTCAAAAATTGTGGTCATGGTTGTCCAACTCTGTGAATATATTAAAAACCACTGAATCGTATTCTTAAATGAGTGAGCGGTGTGATGTGTGAACTGTACCACAATAAAGCTGTTAAAAATTGGCAATTAGGAGCTATTTTCACTGAGTCGTGGGTGTGTACATGTTTTGTGTTTGTGTGCACACAGACACATACGCAGTACACATATACGACAAATTATAATGTGAAACTGAGTGTAAGAAAAAAGTTTTTTTGAGGCAGCATCTTACTCTGTCACCCAGGCTAGAGAGCAGTGGCACAACTGCAACTCACTGCAATCTTAAACTCCTGGGCTCAAGCGATCCTACTACCTGAGCTTCCCAAGTATCAGGACTACAGGTGAAAACTACCATGCCCAGCTAATTCTTAAAATTTTTTGTAGAGGGTGGTGCTTGTGGCTCAAAGAAGTAGGGGAACAACCCCATATGCCAGAGGTGGTGGGTTCAAACCCAGCCCCAGCCAAAAACTGCAAAAAAAAAATTGTAGAGATGCAGTCTCATTGTGCTGCCTGGGTTGGTCTCCAACTCCTGTCCTCAAGTGATTCTCCCATCTCAGCATCCCAAAGTGCTGGGGTTGTAGGTGTGAGCTACCACACCCAGCCTAAGAGCTTAAATTTTTTTTAATTCTTTGATGGTTTAATCACCGCTAAACTGAAGCATATAGAATAGTACACCAGGCACATAACACATGCTTGTTGAGTGGATGAGTGCAATCCTGTAGTGTCAGACCCTGTCACAGACAGAGAACAAAGGGTAATCTAGCATCAGTACCTAACAAAATTTTCATCTCAAATACTGCAATATTTGAGATATTTCATCTCAAATAACAGCCTCCATGACCCTTACCAAGAGGAAACAATTAAGGATGAACAAAGAAACTATCTGATATAATATTACCCAGGATCTTGGTCAGTAGAAAGGTAAATAATGAGAAGGGGCCAATTCCCCTAATGAAGTGGTGGCAGGAACATGTGACTGGGGCTAAGCGTCAAAGCACTTTTCAACTCCTTCACTGAGCGATAAGTTTTAACAACCAGACTTTGGCCTAAACCCATTTTAGTTAACTGGCCCAAGAAGGTTCATTTCCCATTCCCTTCAGCCACATTTCCTCTACCTTGTCTACTAAACTCAGAGACTTCAGCAATGGCATTTTCCTTTTTAACACTCTTCACTAACACCAGCAAAGTCCCTCTATCTCCCATACTTTCACCACCAGGTAAACAGACTTCTGACTGCCATGTTTCCCCTCCCAATTAAAGATCACAAAATGTCCCAATTCTCTCTGGCACTCTGAAACATTCAGGCAGCCAGTGACAAAGTTTAAAATCTACTCTGATTTTTCTTCAGGATATTTGTGCTTAAAAACAAATACCACCCACTGAACCTGCAGGAATGGCCTGATCTAGAATAACAACTCAGGTTACCAAATGTTTTTCACTGCAGGCAATTAGAGATAGAATGCTTTTGACCTTGAAAACCTTTTGGGCTGGTCTCCAACTCCTGTCCTCGAGTGATTTTCCCATCTCAGGATCCCAAAGTGCTGGGTTAAGGAGGGGAGATTTCCCCTTCCTAACACTTGATTCTGACTAATAATGAAATTGTTTCCCAACAACCTTAAGAAAGCAGATGGTGTTTAGGGATATTCCTCTTACAAAAAATTTTCTTAATTTGAGGCTTCAGATTAGATATAATCTATCATTCTAAGAGCACTGCTAATAATTTTAAAATGAACTAATATCAAAGATTAAATAATTTCTAAGAAACATTCACATATAATGCTAAATTGTTACGATTCATTCAGAAGACAACAACAATATCACCTACCTGGGTCAAAACAATGATAAACACAAAAAAATAATTAGAAGCAAAAGGAAGAGATTTACCACAGCATTAGGTACATAAGTAAACCGCTGGAGAAAATGTAGAGAACTAACAGAAACTGAAGAATCTGGCCATAGAAACATAAGAGAATACTGTACCATTAAGAGTAACCGTTAGAAACATGAGGCAGAAATGGGATATTTATACAGTGAAACATCAGAATATGGTGGTGTGTGTCTATGGGGTACACATACATAAATAAACACCTTTCTAAAAATATCTTTCAGGATAAAGCACCATCAAAGCTCTAATTTTTAAAGGTTCTCCATCATTCCATTTACTCAGTTTAATTTCTTTTTTCATTTTACTCTCCTATGTACCAAGTCTTTCAGATCATCTTTGTTTTCCAATATAGTTGTCTTTATGTCTTTCATTCATTGACACGACAAAGTTTCAGTGCCTATCATAATTCCTATTCCAACTCTAGAGAAAGAAAATTTACAAAAGTGGGAGAGAAGAAAACAAAGTCTCTTTTTGTGACTACAGTGGTTGCTACACCTTCCTCCCGAATGCTGCCTTGATGTCGCACTGTTAAGACTCCATGGCAGTAAAAGAGGACTGAAGTGGAAGGACACTAACAAATTGCACTACACCTCCCAGTTACTTCTGCCTGTCTACATGTGCACAGGAACTATCTGGATATTGAAAATGACTATCCTATGTTTCTTACCTATTGCATGAATCTGATTCTGGTGAAGAAAGCTCTTCTTCTTGAATGTCAGTACCACTGGAAGAATCATCTGGTCTATCAGACTCCAATTTCCCTGAGGAGTCTAGCTGTGATTTAGGGGAGTGATTTGTTACTGAGGTCTTATTTGAGAACTTCGCTGCATTATCTTCCCATCCTAAATAGAAAGAAATTTTAAAACAGAAAAAAAGAAAAGAAAAATGTAAGAGTGCTTTAACGTCTACAACCTTTGTACGCCTATTACATATATTTCTACCATATAAAATATACAATTTCCACTTAGTAAAACAGAAATGTATGTGACATTGATTCCAAAACTCTAGTGATAACTAGAGAACAAAAATCAACACTACAGTGGTGCTATCTAATTATATTGCCCAGCCCATGTTTTTCCAGGATTAATTTTAAAATAAAATGTTTTAGAACCAGGAGTAGGAAGAACCTTATAAGTTTAATGAGGCATCTATTTACAGATTATGAAGGAATTTTTGCACATTTCATAGATTGGGGAACACTGACAAACAAACATAAGAAGTATAACAGAAAAAGAGTCAAGATTCAACTATTGAGAAAAGCACAGTATTTATCACTAACATGATGGTGACTCTATCTGGACATTTCTCTAAAGCTGCTAAATACAATGTAATTCTTCATTATGGAAGAGGAAAACTAATCAAACAAAATGAATATTTCCACTTTACTTAACACATACCATATCTCTATGTACCTTCTGTCACAATCTCAGTTTTTGAGACTCTTATTGTAGATAAAGGCCCAAAGAAGCTGGAGGGTGGGATAAAGTCACGATGTTTATAAGAATGTGACATACTGGTATGGCCAAATATCTACAAATATGAGTGAGAAAAGTAGTATCTGTGAAAGTCTTTAGTCCCCAAGACTCTCCCTTTCATGATGTGTTCAGGATTCTGCTGGGATTTTCATCTGTGCTGTCTTTAAGTTTCAGGAACTGAGTAAGTACTTTACATGCAAGCCACATATACTAATTTCATGTGACAGAGAAACTGAGTTTTCATGTATCACTCATTGAGTATGCTTACAGAGGCAGAAACTGTTAACAAAATACACTAAGAGGAACTGTCAAAGTTTTGTTATGCAGAGAAAATTTATGGAAAAAGAATAGGACAAATTCTTCGAAGACCCCTTCCAAGTTTATATAGTCAAGATCTTCCCAGACATAGTTCTAAGATTTTGTTATACTAGAAGAAAAGCATACATCTCAAGAGTATAATTTCTAAGGGGTAGAGGTGGTTCACACCTGTAATCCCAGCACTTGGGAGGCTGAGGGAGGTGGAGTGTTTGAGCTCACAGGTTTGAGACCAGCCTGAGCCAGAGTGAGACCTCATCTCTAAAAATAGCCGGGCATTGTGGCAGACACCTGTAGTCACAGCTACCTGGGAGGCTGAGGCAAGAGAATTGCTTAACCCCAGGAGTTTGAGGTTGCTGTGAGCTATGATGCCATGGTACTCCACAAGGATGACAAAGTGAGACTCTGTCTCAAAAAAGAAAAAAAAAAAAGGACAATTTCTAAAACTATGTTCTTGGTGTCATCTGGCTATCGATAAACCATCATTATCAAAATAAAACTGTACCCTCTAATGTTTACCTGGGAGAGGGAAAAAAGAAGCTAACCAAGATGAGCATCCAGAATCTCTAGGATCTCTCCATAAACAGACACCCAGATCACATAAAGAGAAACCAATCACCCAGTCAATTCTGTGCACCCAGCAACTATATCACTCAACTGGCCAGGAACATGCAATCGAGCAGCAACCCAGGAACAGGAATTAACACAAATTAACTTAAAACAACTTCTTGTTTTTGCATATTATCTGTATTCTTTTTACGTCTTCTCTTACATAAGTTTCAACAGGATAAATTCCCTCTTCTCGGAAACAAACAGGATTCAACAATAGGTAGGTTTTGAAAGTCAGTTACCCTTCCCACCCATCTTCTGTTCTCAGAATGCAGACCCACAAATAGAGCCCCAACCATGAGGCTAAGATGTCAGACCTCCCAAAGACATGCAACAAGGAGAGAATCCACATACTGTTCCCTTATATGATTACATAATTCTACTAATGAGGACAAAATGGAGGAATATAATAGTACCTGAAAGATAAAATAGTTAGGGATAAATCTAAACAAGGAGATAAAAGACTTGTACACTGAAAACTATAGAAGCGCTGAAAGAAATTAAAGAAGACATAAATAAATGAAAAGACATCCCATGTTCATGAATTAGAAGATTAAGCTGTCAATACTATCCAAAGCAACCTACAGATTCAATGTAATACCTACCAAAATCTCAAAGAAAATTTTTGTAGTAATGGAAAAATCCATCTCAAAAATCTCAAGGGACACCAAATAAAAAAAAACAATTTTGAAAAAGAAGAAAAAAGCTGGTCTACAACTATAAAAGCTGGTCTACAACTATAAAATTTACTACAAAGCTACAGTAATTAATACAGTATGGTACTGGTATAAGGACAGATATACAGACCAATGGAACAGAATAGATAGTACAGAAATAAACCTTTATATACATGGTCAATTAATATCTGACAAGACTACAAAGAAAATTCAATGGTGTTGAGAAAAATTGGTTATCCACATGAAAAAGAACGAAGTTGAACATTTACACTACATCATACACAAAAATTAACTCAAAACTGATCAAAGACCTAAACAAAAGAGATCAAACTATAAAATTCTCAGAAAATATAGGGGAAAATCTTTATGACACTGGATTTGGCAATGACTTCAAAGGCAAAAAAAAAAAAGAAAAAAGAAACTGACTTCACAAAAAGCAAGTACTTCTGTGCATGAAAAAGTACTATCAAGAAAGCAAAGATGTAATATAGAGAATGTTTGTAAATATTTGCAAGTCACATATAAGAGATTAATATCTAGAATAAAGAACTTCTAAAATTCAACAATTAAAAAACCCAAAAACAACTAAATTAAAAAATGGGCAAGTAGGAACAGTCACATCTACAATTCCAGTAGTTTGGGAGCCTCAGACAAAAGGATCACTTAATCTCAGGAGTTTGTGACCACCCTGAGCAACACAGTAAGACCCTGCTTCTAGAAAAAACAGAAAAATTAGCTACGTGTGGTCATGTGTGCCAATTACTTGGGAGGCTAAAGCAGGAGCCCAGGAATCAAGGTTGCAGTGAGCTATGATGACACCATTGTACTCTAGCCTAGACAGAATTAGATCCTGTCTCAAAAAAAAAAAAAAGAAAGAAAAGAAAAACTTTTAAACTTGTTCTAATACCAGTGAGACTAGCCCACCTCACAAGGTCCCCAAAGTGCAGATGCTGGTGTGAGCACAGAGAGAAGGGCACACGAATGCACTGCTGGTGGGACTGCAAAGTACTGCAGCCTTTTTGGAAAGAAGTATGAAGAATCCTCAAAGAACTAAAAGTAGACCTCCCATTTGATCCTGAAATCCCATTACTAGATATCTACCCAGAAGAAAAAAAAATCATTCTACCATAAGGATATTTGCACTCACATATTTAGAGCAGCTCAATTCGCAAGTACAAAAATGTAGAAACAACCCAAGCGTCCCTTACCCTAATGAGTAGATTAATAAACTGTGGTGTACGTATACCATGTAATACTGTTCAGCCATAAAAAAAATAAAGGCTTTACATCTTTTATATTTACATGGATGAAATTGGAGAAGTAAAGTATTTCGAGAATGGAAAAGGAAGTAAACCACATACTCGGCATTAATCTGGAACTAGTACATCAACAACTATAGGCCCACACAAGAGAAAAACAATTAAATTCAAGAAGAGAGGAAGAGGAGAGGAGGCTCAGAAAGTTCAATCTCTCTGGTACAGTGGAGGGATATACGGCACACTTCCTAAGTGAAGGACTCAACTACAACTAGACTTTGGACTTCACCTCACAAACTCAAATAATGTAATCTATACCCTCATAGTAAACCAAAATAAAATAAAATAAGCAAAAGACTTGAACACAAATTTCTCCAAAGAAAAATAAATGACTAAGCACATGAAAAGATGTATGACATCATTAGTCAGTACTAGGGAAATGCAAAAAACTATGATGACAGAGGCCAGGCATGGTGGCTCATGCCTGGAATCCTAGGCACTGTGGGAGGCTGAGGCAGACGGATTGCCTGAGCTCAGATTTGAGACCAGCCTGAGCCAGAACAAGACCTCGTCTCTAAAAATAGCCAGGCATTGTGGTATGCACCTGTAGTCCCAGCTGCTTGGGAGGCTGAGGCAAGAGAATCGCTTAAGCCCAAGAATTTGAGGTTGCTGTGACCCGTGACTCCACAGCACTCTACCAAGGACAACAAAGTGAAACTCTGTCTCAAAAAAAAAAAAAAAACAAAACCTATGATAACATACCACTTCATACCTACTAAAATAGCTATAATTAAAAAAAAAAAAATACAGAAATAACAAGTGTTGGTGAGGATGTGGAGAACCTGGACTCCTCATGTATTACAGGTAAGAATGCAGCCATTATAAAAGACAGCCTGGTGGTTTCTCAAAAGGTTAATCATAGAAATAACCAGAAATTTCTAATCCTGGGTATAGATTCAAAATAATTTAAAGCAGGAACTAAAACATATTCCAATATCAATGTTCACTGCAGCATTATTCACAATAACCAAAAGGTAGAATTAATCCCTAACAGATAAACGGATAAACAAAATGCGGTATGTATATATACTATGGATTATTACTCTATCCCAAAAAGAAATTAAATTTTAACATATACTACAACATTGATGGGCCCTGAAAATATTATACTTGGAGAAATAGCCAACACAGAAAGACAAATATTGTATAAATCCCACTTACATAAGGTACCTGACTAAGCAAATTCATAGACACAGAAAGTAAAATAGAGATTAGCAGGTTGTAAGGGAGAGGGGAAAGGAGAGTTATAATTTAGTAAGTACAGAGTTTGTGCTGGGAAAGATGAAAAGCTTTTAGATATATGGCGGCACCTGTGGCTCAGTGGGTAGAACCCCAGCCACATACACTCAGGCTGGTGGGTTTGAACTTGGCCCGGGCCTGCTAAACAATAATGACAACTGTAACAAAAAATGCCGGGGTGTCATGTTGGGCACCTGTAGTCCTAGCTGCTTGGAAAGCTGAGGCAAGACAATCTCTTGAGCCCAGGATTTGGGGATTGCTGTGAACTGTGATGTTCAGAGCACTCTACCAAGGGTGACATAGTGAGACTGCATGTCAAAGAAAAGCTTTTAGGTATAGCGGTGATGGCTACACAATATTTTGAATGCGTTTAATGCCAATGACTTGTATATTTATTAGTGGTTAAAAAGACAAATATTTTTATTTATATTTTACCGCAATAAAGGAAAATAATAAGTAATTTCCTTTTGCATTTTCACCCATTATGATTGTTTTGTTCACTGACCAAAGGCCTGGGCAATAGAAAATAGAATATTAATCCTTAATTTTAAAATGGATCAGAATTAAGAAATTAACAGAATATTTCATCCAAAGTAAACACCAGTGTTCTATAACAAAAATAATTGATTCTCTTTATAGGATACCGTGGGATCTCTGGCAATAAATCCTGTAACTAGAAAAGCCTCAAGCTTAAATAATTATGAAAGTTATAATTTGTCATTAACTAAAAGAAAAAGAGACAAAAGAGATGGTTTCTTTAGGACATTCTTTGAATCATTTTTCCCACAATAATAAACCCAGTTTATATTCAACAACTGCTATGTGAAGTTTATCTAAAAATGCTTTTTCCTATTTCAAAGTAAACTCCTTTGGTTTTAATTCATTTTCATATTAAGAGTAATTAAGGAGATTCAACACATTTCTGTTTTTAATTAATGTCTCTTACCCATGCACACAGATAATAGCTTTGCTGTAGATGCATCTTCTTTTTTTGTTATTACTGCTTTCTGTGACATTCCAACATTTTTCTTGTATCCTTTTTTGGCCTGATCCACCAGATGCTGAAATTCATTCCGATGTTTTTTACCTGAAATTCAAAAGACCTTTCGGTAAAGCTAGGACTATAAAAGCTAATCATCTACACCTGACAAACTAAATATCAAGAGATGTTACAGCTTGCTCAAGAGCAGCATTCTGAGGCAGGAGGATCACTGAGCCCAGGAAGGTTGCAGGGAGCTATGATGATGCCATTACACTCTAGCCAGGGCGTTAAGAGTGAGATTCTGTCTCAAAAAAAAAAAGAAAGACAGACAGAAAGAAAAGAAAATAGCATCCTTAGGAATTACTTGCAATAAACTTAAAAGCTGCCAAGCATAAGAATTCAAAGGGCTAGGGCATGTACGCATCTCCTCTTTAACTTTTGCCTTCCTACAACCATGGAAACACGATATTCCTAGTTTGCTATTCTAGAGTTTTCCCCAAACGTCATACTCTATAGAAGCTTTTGATGGAGCATGAAAGATGCTGCTTTCTTAAATATATCCAAATATATATATACCATTATAATTTCCAAGATACACACAAGTACTAAGATAAAGAGTATTCACTGAATAATATAAAATAGAAGCATCTAGGAAATTTGAGCAATAATAACTAAAAGTATCCATTCCAATTTTCCTTTTAGTCTTTATATTTCCTGCCTATTTCCCAGCAGAACTGCTTTATTTTAACATTCTAAGACCTCCCCCAGCCAATTCCACCTTATCTTAGGATACTGCATAATGTCAATCTTTATTTATTACTACCTTAACACCTTTGAGCATAATTTAATCAACCCTGACCTCAAGGACAGCTTTATTAACATATACCAATTTACTCAGTAAGGAGTAGGCAGCCATCGTCAGCCCTCTCTCTATGTTAGGGCACCCACTTGCGATTCTGAATCATGGTTCAGGTAGCTGAAGTTGAAGGTTACTTATCTAGCAACCTTAAGCACATGGTTCATGGTTCAAAATAACATCAGATATCATTTATAATTTTTAGAAAGAATCATACTGCAAATAGTTAAAACAAAAACTTGAGACTGTTTTCATACAAAACCCTACAATATACATTTTAGTTCATTATTTCTTCCATTTTCCTAGTAGCATAGACACAATATTAAGGTATAGGGGATATAGTGGGTATAGCAGAAAACGTGGGCTTTGATTGAAAACCATGGCTTTGTCTAAAGCAGCGGTTCTCAACCTGTGGGTCGCGACCAATGAAAATACGTCCTGAACATCAGATATTTTACATTACAATTCATAGCAGCAGCAAAATTACCGTTATGAAGTAGCAACGAAAATAATTTTATGGTTGGGGGGGTCACCACAACATGAGGAACTGTACTAAAGGGCTGCGGCATTAGGAAGGTTGAGAACCTCTGGTCTAAAGCTTCCTTTCCAGGATTCTAGCTATTCACTCTCTTAGAGCTATTGTACAACTCTGTAAGCTGGAGATAGCTGAAAGTAAGGGAAGATAATTCTTGTCTATAGGTATGCAAAATTCTGTCCCGTGAAGGTTTAATTGACTTCCCTCTCCCGCTATGAAAGAAGCCAGTGTTCCTCTATTTGCACATTCATTTTAATATTCCTTATCTATAAATGTGATTTTCTTTGGATTCTCCTTTAAACACTTTTTACATCTTATCAGTCCCCTCTCAAATTGTGAGTTTTAAAAATCCTAAATAAAAAGACACAATTTTAATTGCTTTTGAAAATTACCTTTTAACATGGGAAGAGATAGCATTAAATTATGAAGTATACAAGAAAGAGAAGAGAGAAGTTGGTTCCTATATTTAGATATTAATAGGCACAGCAAAGAGATTTGGGAGACAGGGCTCCTAATCCCAATATATTTATGTGTATAGTGCATGTATGAAACAAGTACGTTGGATTATAAAAAGTCCCGTAAATGTTAACTAAGAGACTAGTTAAAATTCCAGCAAAAGAAATAAAAACTGACCTTGAAGATTACTGGAAAAAGTTAGCTCTTTAGAAACAAGTGAAATCTTATCACAAAGTAGGCTCTTTCAAGTACTTTTTCACTCTATGCATTTGAAGATAATTATCTTGGACTTTTTTCAGCTCCCCAGAATCAGTGAGGAGCCCCAAAACACCACTCCCATCATTACATACTTTCTGTGAGGCAAGGGTAACAATACTATGGAACCTACAAAATTTAGCTAGACCAGGTCTAGGCCATTTTCCTATTAAGGATACTGTACATTTAAAGACTGTGGATTTAAGAATTAGTCATAAAACTTGCTATAGTAATTGTATAAATAGTTAATGACTTTCTCTTCTGAAGTAACAAAATGCCAGATTAAAAGAGATTTTCTTTTTTCTTTTTAAAATCTAATCACTGCACAGCTTCGCTGAAAACCAAAAGTAAATGGCAGTCACTGCTCTGGCACTGGCCTACGAAGTTCAATAACTCTCGCTCAGCAAATGAATGATGCCAACAGATTGTGACTAGTAAAACTGTTCCCACATATCTCTTCACCTTGTCTTGGGAGATTTGCCATTTGCAAGGAATACTCTAAAGTCGAAAATCTTAGTTTTTTTGGTGGTTACATGTCCTTAACTTACCTCTTAAAAGTCTTAAGTGGCTGAGGTAGTTGTGGGAGATGATTAAACACGTTTACCCAACTCAGATTCTTTAAGATTTTTAATACTTGAATTACACCATCCTTTTTGCCTCTACAAGTTGAAATATAATCTTTTCTAGTGCCAAGTCCAGCCCTTCATTGCCTGATCACCTAACTAGTCTTCTTTACACCAGTTACCATTTTTTTTGTTTTGGAAACAGAGTCTCATTTTGTCGCACTTGGTAGAGTGCCATGGCACCACAGCAACCTCAAAGTCTTGGGCTCAAGCGATTCTCTTACCTCAGCCTCCCTTGTAGCTAGGACTACAGGCACCTGCCACAATACCCAGCTATTTTATTTGTTTGTTTGTTTTTAGCAGGCTCGGGCTGGGTTTGAACCCACCAGCCCTGGTGCGTGTGGCCAGCCCCCTAACCTAGACCAGTTCTTATAGTCTGAGCATCGCTTGGTTTGTCCATGAACGCAGTGATGCACAAGACCAAAACCAGGCTCTCCCATGGGTGGGACAGACTCACACCCCTTACAGTGATGCCACTGAGATACTCAACAGTAATGGCTAATATTCACCAAGGGGTTATTCACTTAGCCTTGAACTATCTCCTTTAAATTCAGGATCATAACCCTCAAATGGGCATTTGACACTGCTATACAGCGCTACACTTCTCTAGTAAAGCTTGCTTTACTACTCTCCCAAACAACCATCTCACCCTTTCTCCTCTTTATTCAAATCTCCAGTACTCCTGTCACAGCTCCCTCTTAGTTGGCCTCACACTAGATGGCAAAATATAGAATCATTCTAACAGGAACACTGTCATCCTCCAACCACCAATACACCTATACACTTACGATCTATCTTCCTTGCCATTATCATGGAACGACTGTCCTTGCTACAATTAAAAACTGACTCCTAACTTACTCTCCAGATCCTATAGTGATGGTCTCTCAAAGACAGTGTTTCTGAAACCAAGAGTGTGGACTGTGAAGACTCAGTAAGTCTAGACTGGCATATTCTTCCTAATAAACTAATAGACAAATGGAAAAGAGAAACAGAGTTTTGTGACACTTTTTGTTTCTATAATGTATGTATGTATAATTATGATATAAAATGGATTTCTCACTGTGGGTTGCAATCAAAAAGGTTAAAAGTCAGTGAGTTATCTTCCATTTTAAAAAAATAACCAAACAAAAATACACAAACTGTCCCGTGACACAACGCCCACCTCTGGCCACAACCTCATTTTTCTGCTCTCCCTGACACAATAAAACTTCTCCCAAAGAGCTCCTTGTCTTAATGATCTTACTTCTTTACCTCCAATTCAGTGTCAGCCAAGTCTAAGCACTTCCGATGCCTCCTCTCTGATGAAACTTCTCTTGTCAAGGTCTGAGCCCTCAAAGCTATGAAATCCATTGGTGTCTCCTATTTCCCTTTATACAACCTTGCATGATATGCGGCACAATTCGTGATTTCCCCTTTCTTGACACATTCTCCTCACTTAGACTTTCTGATGCCACATTTCCCAAGTTTTCTTCCTATCTCATGGCCATTCATTAGGTTTTCTTAGCTGCCTCCTTTGGTCATTGTCTACATCAGGCATTCTCAAACTATGGCCTGCGGGCCACATGCAGCCCACCCTGCCTAGGACATTTATCCGGCCCACCGGGTGTTTTTGCCACCACTGCCTGTCCTGCTTAGGAGCCAACTCATCCCGGGGCCCACAGTCCGGCCCTCCAACGGTCTGAGGGACAGTGAACTGGCCCCTATTTAAAAAGTTTGAGGACCCCTGGTCTACACTCTCAAACAGCAGACTTCAAAGTGCAGTGCCTAACTGCTAAGGATCCCTGGATGAGAATTCTCATGAAGTAAAATCGATTGCAGACAAGAGTAAAATCACAGCACTACTAAAAAGTGTCTTTTTTGTCATGTTGGCATATGCATTGTATGACGAGTGCATGAAGAAGCACTTGTTTGTGTGAGCTGTGGCTCGTGTACTCATGTACTTCGGCATACATCAGAAGTACTTTACTTGTAGCTTTCCTTTTAGCACAGAGGTCATTAGAAAGACATATACTCAACAGTCTGCTTCATCAAGGATTTTTTCCCCCACCCTGGGTAGAGTGCCGTGGTGGTCATCATAGCTCACAGCATCCTCAACCTCCTGCGTCCTTCTCCCAAGTAGTTGGGACAACGGGCACCTGCCACGTCACCTGACTAATTTTCCTATTTTTTAATAGAGATGGGGTCTCCCTCTTGCTCAGACTGGTCTCAAACTCCTAAACTCAAGCAATCCACCCACCTTGGCCTTCCAGAGTACTAGGATTACAAGCATGAGCCTGCTGTGCCCAGCCCATAAAGAACATTCTTACGTGTAACTGACTTTTAAAATGGTGAGTACATCCCCATGACTACACTGACTAGGGGGATAAGTTCGCTGTCACTT